CAGCTTTTCTCACTTCTTCAGATATAAAAATGTTTTTTTTAATGTTTCACATCGGTGTAGGAAAAAGCCACAGTCACAAAAATAATCACGTCAACATTTTGGTCAGTTATTAAAAGTTGACTTTACAGAATATAATTAATTTGAAGTCAAATCCCTGCAGAAAAAAAGAGCTGTAGGTGGTGACTTCAGTTTATGTTCAAACTAACTTTATTTACTTTCATGGGAATAAAAAATGGACAAAGAGAAATAGAGAATAATAGAAGAAAATCAACCCTGTGGCTGCAGTAAAACAATGTAACAGGTAAAAGCTCCATGTAGAAAATCCTGTTTCTTATTGAAGTGTGCTGAGTATTTGTGTCTTTCTGAATGATCTGTGTTTTTTTGCAGCTTCTGTACCTCCTGGGTTTCCGTAGCTCTGCCTCTCCCTCCATCACAGAGACGTCTTCTGGCAGGGAGTTGATCCATATTTTTAGATTTACTGTGAACAAACAAGTTATTTGAAGCCGGGTGTAAACTGTTCGACTACAGCTGACGAGATGTTTGAGTCCTGAGAGGGATTTAGAAATGTCAGGGTGATGCACGACGGCTGATGATCATTTATCTCAGACCGTTGGGATGATTGTAGATCTGATTCTCTGACTTGAAGAATTAGTTTCTTTATTGTGAGAACAGCGGGCATGTCTGTTAAATCTGTTTTCACCCTCTGATCATGAATGAAGTGATGGTCTCCAGATGTCTTGTGTTGGTTGGTTGGTTGGGGAGCTGTGCATGAGATACGACGTAACCTTTGTAAGTTTTTCTTTTTGTATTGACAGGTGAGAACGCTCCGTCCTGATGTGATTCAGACAGTGTGACCTCTGGGGTCGTGGTCGACATTCAGCTGGTACAGCGTGAGAACATGAACGGTGAGTTGTTGGTCGTGTATTGCATCATGACTTTTATCTGTCGGTGTTTAGTTTGAAGCTTTGGTGTCAGTTGTTTGTGGAGGTGATTTTGTGAAACGTGAAAGTTGGATACATTTACAGATTCTGACTTTACAAATTGTCCTCAGAGGAACATTTGGTCCCTGGAACTGTTAGAAGGTAAATGCTATGTGAGAAGTTGTGTTGTTGGGGGGGCTGCATCAGTGAAACGTGTCTCTCCTGGTAGCTTTGAAGCTCTAATCCAACAGACTGTATCAGGTACACAGACCTCATGTGACTCATTGAACTGCAGCTGTGGTTAAATCTCATGTAACCAACTGCTAAAGTCTCCTCTGAAGTCAACACTTGATATGAAAACCTTTTGGAATCAATAAAAGATTTTTAACTTTTGTGTCCTTCTTTGACAAAATACATCACTATGCTTAACTTGCTTGTTAACTTGTTTACCCTAACCCTCTGTGACAAGTCTTACTTTTATCATTCAAGTATTTAGATTTAATTCCTCAGGTATTGATGAGCAGATCAGGCTTTGTATCAACCAAATTATCTAAGCTAAGTGGACAGAAAAACGATACAAATAGGTACGAGGACAGGAGCCATGACTAACCAATTTACATATTAGTCAATGGACTTAAATTTACAGGTTTTAAATTTACATTAAAAAGTGTTTGTGTATGATCATTTAAATATATGTATATTCTCCTAAGAGAATTGTGACATCATAACATCCTTCATTTTAGAGTTGTTACAGCACGTGACAAAGGAAGGGTATCACACATGAAACAAGGTTTAAAAGGAAGTGAATTTATTATCAAATAATGATAATTATGTAAATCAGTCATGAATACAATGTATGGATGAGTGTAGTGTTGGAAAGTGTGAACAAAAGTAAACCAGTTGGTGGAGGCCTGGGAGAAAGAGAGGGGAGACAAGTTAGACTGGAAGCCACTTAGAAGCAGAGTCCTGATGGACTCAGGTGTACCCAGTTGGACTAATGGCCTTCCTGACTCCGCCTACTTTCTGCCAAGTCAGGAAGCCAAACAAATGCAGGATGTCACCCCCCAATAAATCATTTATTTAACAAATATTAAAAAAAAACAATCTTAGACTTGAACAAAACAACACACAGATCCAGCTGGAGAAACAAAGTCTGCATCTGTCTCTGTGGCTCAGGAGATAGAAGGAGGACTTGGAGTCTGGAGGTTGTGGGTTCAAATCTTATCAGGACTCAGTGAATTTTAAAGTCCGACATCTGAATTGATGAAGATAAATACGCCCGGAGCTCATGTCATAGTGTGAAGGGATTGGTAGTGTAGTGGATAAGATTGCGGTTTCCAAACTCTGTAGGTGGAGAGCCTGGGTTTGAATCCCACTGTGTCTGGTGATGGAGGGTTTGAATCTTGGGGGTTTGAAATTTTAAAGTCAAAATCCAAAATGACGATGATAAATACGCCCGAAACATGTCTTCAAGTGTGGGGCCTGTGGCCAAGTGGAATTGTCCTTGCATCTGCAACAGGTACACGCTGGTTCAAGTCCAGCTTCCAGCAGGTGTGGAACTGCTAGGGGGGGCAAAGTTTCCCTTTACTCCAGTTGAGTGTTGGCTTGCTTACTGTAACTGCCCTTCTGATCTAATGACTTACTTTAATAAATAATAATAGAATGACTTAATTGATCCCAAACTGAGAAATTGTGGCGTTACAGCACTAACAATATATACAACAATATGAGTAAAAAACACAATATTAACAAATCTAAACACAATGTAATATTAAATACAAAGTAAATAAGTAGTAAAAATATCAAAACTAAGAATGTGAATATATACAACCAGGACTTAACTTAGCATTACTAGTCTTAAATAGAAAGATTAAATGTAAATGTGCAAAAACAGAATAGTAAATGGACAGTGCTCAAAGGAGCTAAAGTAAAATATGGAGCATCAGTGAAGTCAGCGGAGACATTTTTGATATATGTTAACACCAAGAACACAACTCTCCTCTCTGTAGGTCATTGAGGGAACAGGAAGTTATAAAGGAAACAGGAAGTTATAAAGGAAACAGGAAGTTGAGGGTTCTTTCTTTGATCTGCCCACAGCAGGCAGCAACAGCAATGTAAGTTCCTTTACTGAAGTTAAGGTTTAGCATTAGCATGTAGCTTAGCATTAGCATTGTTATAATGTGTTATGTATTGCATCTGATGTAGCATACCATGTGGCTTAGCATGTATGTTAGCATTAGCATGTATGTTAGCATTAGCATGTAGGTTAGCATTAGCAACAACTTGTATTAGTTTATTGTTGTGTCTTGTAGTTTTCAGTCCTTATTCAATGTGGTGAATATGTGGCAGACCATCTCTTTGCTCCCTTCAGGTGCAGCTCCTGCAATTGAAAGACAATGTTTCGATTTAGTTTGGACCAACAAAGACAATCGTCATAGCAAAGCATGCACAGGTGAGTATGTAGAAATGAGGTGCACAGGTGTGGGATCATCTATCTGTAGAGAGAGAGAGAATGTTAAAAATGTTTGATTTGCATTTAAATTGGGGAATTCAGTAAAAATAAAAACTGTTAAAAAATAAAATATTTAAAAATATTTTATAAATGATTAATATTATAAATATTAATTTAATAATAAATAAAATAAAAAGTTTGTTCAAGCTGTTTCAATCGTCTTCTTTCTGTTTAAAGCCTTAAGAAATAAAAACATGTGTTACCACTGTGTGTGTATATATATGTGTGTGTGTGTGTATATATATGTGTGTGTATATATGTATATATGTGTGTGTATATATGTATATATGTGTGTGTATATATGTGTGTGTATATATATGTGTGTGTGTATTATTAAACTCTGCTAATCCAACATCACCAAACAGACAAAGTTACTGTGACACTGAAGATGCAGAGGATTAAAATACCTCATTCAGTACAGCTGCAGATAGACGACAGATACGGTGGCTACATGCTAATGCTAAGCTACATGCTAATGCTAAACCACATGCAAATGCTAAGTCACATGTTAATGCTAAACCACATGCTAATGCTAAGTCACATGTTAATGCTAAACCACATGCTAATGCTAAGTCACATGTTAATGCTAAACCACATGCTAATGCTAAGTCACATGTTAATGCTAAACCACATGTTAATGCTAAACCACATGCTAATGCTAAGTCACATGTTAATGCTAAACCACATGTTAATGCTAAACCACATGCTAATGCTAAACCACATGGTATTCTACATCAGATGCAATAAATAACAAGGCTAATGCTAAGCTACATACTGATGCTAAACCTTAACTTCAGTAGAGGAACTTACACTGCTGTTGCTGCCTGCTGTGGGCAGCCTTGAAGATCAAAGAAAGAACCCTCCACTTCCTGTTTCCTTTATAACTTCCTGTTGCTAAATCCAGAGCACTTCCTGTTGCACTCCAGAGCACTTCCTGTTGATAAATCCAGAGCTACAGATTCAGAGATATAAGAAAACAGACAGGTGATCATTCAAACAAATGCTTTGATTCCGTCTGGTTGTGTTGGATGGATGTTTGTAGGAACTCATTTTGTCGATCTTTTACTGATTGAACTGGACTTTGATCCATTTGAACTTTTGTGACCTGTTGGTTTGGTGACCTCAGCATCGTTAACAAACAAAGGTCGAGAAATACAGTTATTGTTTTTTCTGGAACACCCTCATGTCTCCTTGAGACTCCTTGAAGGTCTCAGTCTGAGACTAGAAGGCAACATGACACTTTAAATGATGTTCCAGTCCTATAATAAATAAATGAGTTCATGTTGATGTTGGTCTGTAACAGATTACAGAGAATACAAAGTGTGTTTGTGTCCTCACCTTGATGTCCTCGTCTCCATCATGTCTCCTTGTCATTGGCCTGAATGTTTGTGTGGGCGTCGGCCTGCGTGCTCTCCAGCTGTTTGCTGCGGTTCACCAGAGACTTGACCTCAGACTTGACCTTGCTGACGGTGGACTCCTCCTTTGATTCCTCCGTTCCCCTTTGACTCTGAGGACTGAGGATGAGTGTGTGTGTGTGTGTGTGTGTGTGCGTGCGTGCGTGTGTCCGTTCTCACAGCTGTGTTGACATCACTGGTGCCGATGATGGCGCCGATGTCACTGAGGTCTCGTAGCAGCAGGTTGAGGACCTCAGTACCTCTGAGACTGTTCAGCTCAGACACACACACACACACACACGCACACACGCACACACACACGTTTCTGCAGAACTCGAGATGCAGACTTTGAACACTTCCTCCTGAAACATATCTGTACCGTCTTGTGCTGCAGGTTGGTCTGATCGCTCTCCTCCACCTCTTGGCTCTTCTGGTCGTAGTTGACGGCGAGCTCCTCCAGCGCCTGCAGCACCTCCTTCACCTCCTCCTTCAGCTGGTTCTCCGTTTGCAGCCGGCACAGCTCCTCCTGGGAGGGACGTGGGGTCAGAGTGAGTTCATGCAAAAATGATCATCCTTATGAAATCCATGTTTAAATGAAAATAAGAAAATGACATTAAGTAATAATAATTGAGAAAATGAAAGTATTTTAAGCAGGTTGTCTCCAAACTGTGCTTCTAATGTTGTGTCTTGACTTTGTCTTTAGTCTATTCTTGTCATCCAGCTGTTTGTACAGGTTGCTGATGTCCTCCTCGTATTTGCTCCGCTCGTTGCAACAATATTATTTGACTTTTCTTTCACAAAGGTAAGAAGTATTTTCAGTTGAAAAAAACAGTTAATTTAAAATGAGTAATGTATCATAATGGCTCATTTACTTTTCACGTATTGTTCAATCCTAGCTGTAAATTAGATGCACACGTTTGAGTGCTCCTAAAGTAAAAGTCTGTGATAGTCCTTTTTAACTTGTAAATGTTTCCTTTTAATTTATGTTTAATCTAAACTAGCTCAATGAGCTGTAAGAAAAAAATAATACAATTAAATTAAAATAAATTCAAACAAATTGACCCATTTCAATTAAATCAATAAAAAGGTTTGTGGTATTTTCATTAAGAAAACCAAACGATAATAAACGAATTAAATTGATTAAAAAGTAAGTTTGAAAAGTAAAATTTAACCTAAGAAGAAAAGGTTTAAGGTAAAAATGCAGCTTTAATATAAATAATTTATCAAACAATGATGTAAGACTCTAATTAAAGTTATAGGTTGAAAATAAATGTATTTTATCTTTTATAAATCACTTTATATGGAGACCTAACTAACCTCTGGTGGTTAGTTACCTTTTACCTGTTGTTTAGTTTTATTTACCTTTTACCTGTTGTTTAGTTTTATTTACCTTTTACCTGTTGTTTAGTTTTATTTACCTTTTACCTGTTGTTTAGTTTTATTTACCTTTTACCTGTTGTTTAGTTTTATTTACCTTTTACCTGTTGTTTAGTTTTATTTACCTTTTACCTGTTGTTTTATTTACCTTTTACCTGTTGTTTAGTTTTATTTACCTTTTACCTGTTGTTTTATTTACCTTTTACCTGTTGTTTAGTTTTATTAACCTTTTACCTGTTGTTTAGTTTTATTAACCTTTTGACTGTTGTTTAGTTTTATTAACCTTTTACCTGTTGTTTAGTTTTATTTACCTTTTACCTGTTGTTTAGTTTTATTAACCTTTTGACTGTTGTTTAGTTTTATTAACCTTTTAACTGTTGTTTAGTTTTATTTACCTTTTGACTGTTGTTTAGTTTTATTAACCTTTTGACTGTTGTTTAGTTTTATTTACCTTTTGACTGTTGTTTAGTTTTATTAACCTTTTGACTGTTGTTTAGTTTTATTAACCTTTTACCTGTTGTTTAGTTTTATTAACCTTTTGACTGTTGTTTAGTTTTATTAACCTTTTACCTGTTGTTTAGTTTTATTAACCTTTTAACTGTTGTTTAGTTTTATTAACCTTTTGACTGTTGTTTAGTTTTATTTACCTTTTGACTGTTGTTTAGTTTTATTTACCTTTTACCTGTTGTTTAGTTTTATTTACCTTTTGACTGTTGTTTAGTTTTATTAACCTTTTGACTGTTGTTTAGTTTTATTTACCTTTTAGCTGTTGTTTAGTTTTATTTAGCTTTTACCTGTTGTTTAGTTTTATTTACCTTTTACCTGTTGTTTTATTTACCTTTTAGCTGTTGTTTAGTTTTATTTACTTGTTAACTGTTGTTTAGTTTTATTTACCTTTTACCTGTTGTTTTATTTACCTTTTGACTGTTGTTTAGTTTTATTTACTTGTTAACTGTTGTTTAGTTTTATTTACCTTTTACCTGTTGTTTAGTTTTATTAACCTTTTACCTGTTGTTTTATTTACCTTTTAGCTGTTGTTTAGTTTTATTTACTTGTTAACTGTTGTTTAGTTTTATTTACCTTTTACCTGTTGTTTAGTTTTATTTACCTTTTACCTGTTGTTTAGTTTTATTTACCTTTTACCTGTTGTTTAGTTTTATTTAGCTTTTACCTGTTGTTTAGTTTTATTTACCTTTTACCTGTTGTTTAGTTTTATTTACCTTTTACCTGTTGTTTAGTTTTATTTAGCTTTTACCTGTTGTTTAGTTTTATTTACCTTTTACCTGTTGTTTTATTTACCTTTTAGCTGTTGTTTAGTTTTATTTAGCTTTTACCTGTTGTTTTATTTACCTTTTAGCTGTTGTTTAGTTTTATTTACTTGTTAACTGTTGTTTAGTTTTATTTACCTTTTACCTGTTGTTTAGTTTTATTTACCTTTTAACTGTTGTTTAGTTTTATTTACTTGTTAACTGTTGTTTAGTTTTATTTACCTTTTACCTGTTGTTTAGTTTTATTTACCTTTTAACTGTTGTTTAGTTTTATTAACCTTTTGACTGTTGTTTAGTTTTATTTAGCTTTTACCTGTTGTTTAGTTTTATTTAGCTTTTACCTGTTGTTTAGTTTTATTTACCTTTTACCTGTTGTTTTATTTACCTTTTAGCTGTTGTTTAGTTTTATTTAGCTTTTACCTGTTGTTTTATTTACCTTTTAACTGTTGTTTAGTTTTATTTACTTGTTAACTGTTGTTTAGTTTTATTTACCTTTTGACTGTTGTTTAGTTTTATTTACTTGTTAACTGTTGTTTAGTTTTATTTACCTTTTACCTGTTGTTTAGTTTTATTTACCTTTTAACTGTTGTTTAGTTTTATTTACTTGTTAACTGTTGTTTAGTTTTATTTACCTTTTACCTGTTGTTTAGTTTTATTTACCTTTTAACTGTTGTTTAGTTTTATTTACTTGTTAACTGTTGTTTAGTTTTATTTACCTTTTACCTGTTGTTTAGTTTTATTTACCTTTTGACTGTTGTTTAGTTTTATTTACCTTTTAACTGCTGTTTAGTTTTATTTACTTGTTAACTGTTGTTTAGTTTTATTTACCTTTTAACTGTTGTTTAGTTTTATTTACTTGTTAGCTGTTGTTTAGTTTTATTTACTTGTTAACTGTTGTTTAGTTTTATTTACCTTTTAACTGTTGTTTAGTTTTATTTACCTTTTAACTGTTGTTTAGTTTTATTTACTTGTTAACTGTTGTTTAGTTTTATTTACTTGTTATCTGTTGTTTAGTTTTATTTACTTGTTAACTGTTGTTTAGTTTTATTTACTTGTTAACTGTTGTTTAGTTTTATTTACCTTTTAGCTGTTGTTTTATTGGTCAGCGTCTGTTTTGGGTGCGATCTGAAGTGTACCTGTAGGTCTGTCTTCATGAGCGAGGCTCCTGCTTCAACCAGATAATGACAGATAGTTCTCCCCCCTGGTCAACAGGAGAGAGAGAGAGAGAGAGAGAGAGAGAGAGAGAGAGAGAGAGAGAGAGAGAGAGAGAGAGAGAGAGAGAGAGAGAGAGAGAGAGAGAGAGACAACATCACCCGAGGAACAGACATCAACAGTGGCACATATATCATCACATACAGACTGAACAGAGATCACAGCAACAACATCAAAGCTGGAGATACAGGCACAGGACTGAAGTTTGAAAGTTTCACAACATTTTCTCACCAACAGCATCATCATCAACACTCTGTTAACATTTAAATAAAGTGTTTAGCATTTTAAAAACCTCATGGTTTCAGTTCAATGTTCGATGTTTTCAAGCACAAATAGAATCTGTACTTACTGCAGTTTTTCTGTAACGTCCAGCAGATCACTTGGAGCTAAAAAGACATCAGACGAGACCGTTATGGGTGATTTTCTCCAGATCCACTTTTTGTTGGCGCTCTACAAAATAAAGATTGATTGAACTGACTTATTGTTTTACAAGCCTGTCATTGAAAGTTTCCCATTTATTCAAACACTAGAATACAGAAAGAAAGAAACTACATATTCCTATGTTGAAAAAAACTACAAACATACCTATGATGAAAAGAACCCACAAACATCCATTAATGATAAAAAAACAACAACTAAGGATTCTTCTAATGAGCTACACAAGGTTATTTGGTATACTCTTAAAGGTACAGGTAAAGGTACTGCTACAGGAAGTGACTGATCAAACAGGAAGTGCCCTGCCTTTAAAGGAAGCAGGAAGTTGAGGGTTCCTTCTTTGATCTTCAAGGCTGCACAGAGCAGGCAGCAACAGAAATGTAAGCTCCTTCACTTTACTGAAGTTAAGGTTTAGCATGTAGCTTAGCATTAGCCTTGTTATAATTTGTTATGTATTGCATCTGATGTAGCATGCCATGTGGCTTAGCATTAGCATGTAGCTTAGCATTAGCAACAACTAAGCTTTCTTTAGTGTGTTAGTTTGTTGTTTGAATTTCTTTATCTAGAACTTTAGTAATGACTAAACTAAATGTTCTTGTGTCTTGTAGTTTTCACTTCTTCAATCTGGTGAATAAATCAAAAGAGTCACTAACATCCTGACTCACTCATCGTTGAATGGAGTTTGTCTGACTGTTAACCTACCTGCACCAAACACGTGGAGGACTGTACACACACCTGTGGAGGATGTAGAGGACCATCTCTTTGCTTCCTGCACTGGCAGCGTGATGAAGTAAACTGCAGCCGGACGAGTCGAGTGAGGTGAGGTGGGGCTCCCTTCAGGTGGGGCTCCCTTCAGGTGGGGCTCCCTTCAGGTGAGGCTCCCTTCAGGTGGGGCTCCCTTCAGGTGAGGCTCCCTTCAGGTGGGGCTCCCTTCAGGTGGGGCTCCCTTCAGGTGAGGCTCCCTTCAGGTGGGGCTCCCTTCAGGTGCGGCTCCCTTCAGGTGCGGCTCCCTTCAGGTGAGGCTCCCTTCAGGTGAGGCTCCCTTCAGGTGGGGCTCCCTTCAGGTGAGGCTCCCTTCAGGTGGGGCTCCCTTCAGGTGGGGCTCCCTTCAGGTGGGGCTCCCTTCAGGTGGGGCTCCTGCAGCTGATGATTCAATTCAAAGACACATGTGAGTATGTAGGAATGAGGTGCGAAGGTCTGCAGTGAGAGATGAAACTGTCACTCACCTTCTTTCAGTCTTTGTTCTTCACACACTCAACCAGCAGCTCTACACACAGAGAGAGAGAGAGAGAATGTTAAAAACCACAGATAATTAAAGTTATTATCAGTGCTCTGTATGATGAGGTTGAAGGTCTTGGTCCTCAAAAGGATTTGATTGACTTCTCCTTTTGGGCGACAGATTTATTGGCTAACAATAAACATGTAAACTACTATAACTAATTAAAACACAGCTGGCAGATAACCAACGACATTAAGGACTTCATAAATCAGTTTTTATTACTTGTCTCCAAAAGAAATTTTGAAGTTTAAACTAATTGTGATGTTTTCTTTTTTTTAACACTTTCAGGGGCAGCCTGACCAAAACAAGATGAAGAGCTGTTAGCATGTCTGCTACACACAAACTGAATGTTAACTTTCATAAATCAGTCCATTTTTATTCACTTATCTCCAAATCATTAGAAAAGTTATCTCCAGACACTTTACAAAATTTTGAAGTTTAAACTAATTGTGATGTGTTTTTTTTTTTTTTAAACTTTTAGGGGCAGCCTGACCAAACAGATGAAGAGCTGTTAGCATGTCTGCTACACCACGCTGCCTCACTTCATTCAACATTGGTGGAGTATTTCTTGCTCTTGTTTATTTAACCGTTTGAGTCACATATATCATATTCTTTTTTTAAACATGTTTTATCCATATTGTCATATTTTGATGCTAAGTAGGTGCAGATAAAAAACACACATATGCTTTAAGGCATCACAGTACTTTAAAACTATAAATGTTGATCTGTGATTACTTTTTATAATTTGAAAGATGTGTAAACATGTCTTATCTCAAATTAACAACCACCTTAGTTTTGGTGTGCTTACCACCTTACTATAAATGTTGATCTGTGATTACTTTTTATACATTTGAAAGATGTGTAAACATGTCTTATCTCAAATTAACAACCACCTTAGTTTTGGTGTGCTTTTACATTTTAATCCTAACTCTCACTTTCATGTAGATTCTTTTGACTTAATTAGTAATGTATCAGAATGGCCCATTGTACTGTTCATGTTTTGTACAATCCTAGCTGTAAATTACTCACAGATGCATCCTGACATGAACTTTGAACCCTGATATCTTCGTTTCTTGTGTCTTATATTCCAGGTGTTTCCTCGCTCTGAACTCTGAAGAGTAGGATCTGTGCTGCAGCTGGAAGGATCTTCTGAGGATTAAAGTTTACCTGTTAGTTTTGGGTTTTCTCTTAAACCACTTTCAAAAATAAAATTTTAAAGTCTTAATTTCTTATGTTTGTGTTGTCAGCACCTTTCATCACACATAGCTGTGAAGTTTGAATTACAAGAAACAAGTTTCCCTCAATGATAAAATAAAGCTATAAAACACATCTGGCAGGTAACATGAAGGAGACCCCCCCCACAAAGCTGATCACTGATGCAGAATGGATAAAGCAGTAGTTTTATTACATGTTACACCAGCACAACACAATAAGGTGTCACAGCATCCCCATTAGGAGACTCAAAGCTTTCTTAATGTTGTTTTATTATGTTCCAGGTTTTACGTCGTATAGATGTTTAGACTCAGTTATTTTAATCATTCGATCCTTTTCGTAGTGGAGGAACATCAGGTGTTTAATGAAATACTACATTTTATAATCCTTAGGTATCGTTAGTCAACAGCTTAGCTACAGAGTTATCAGTATGTTAAAAGCTGATTTAAGTAAGCAAGCGCTATATCAAGGTCTAAACTAAAAGGAGGTCATAACTCCCCTTAAATCAGCTTTAACATCAACATACTGATAACTCTGTAGCTAACACAAGTCAAGCTGTTGACTAACGATACCAAGGATTATAAAAATGTAGTATTTCATTAAAAACCTGATGTTCCTCCACTAAAAAGGATGAAGTCAAATGATTAAAATAACTGAGTCTAAACATCTATAAGACCTAAAACCTGGAACAAAATAAAACAACATTAAGAAAGCTTTGAGTCTCCTACCTGAGCAGGAAGACGGCCACCGATGGGGGATCCTCCTGGAAGACATCAACAGAGTTCCTGTTGGAAAAGAAAAACTAATTTTAGTTCATCAAGTTAATAAAACTCAGAAAATGTTTGTGATTATACAACATTGTGATGATTGGAATAAACCTGGGTTTTATCATTCACTGTAAATGATCTGTGTTTAACTTCACTTTAAGGGTTTTCTATGAGACCGAAGCAAACTTAAATTCAAAGTTTAAATGTAGAATATAAAACAGAAACATTGAGTATAAAGTCTTAAGAAACATCTTTACCATACATTAACTGTCACAAGAACACAAACTCTAATTAAAGTTATAGTTTGAAAATAAATACATTTTATCGTTTATACATCACTTTATATAGAGAGGGCGCCCTCTGGTGGTTAGTTGGTTACTGCACTTAAATAATAAATTAATTAGACTTTGAATTAAACACAGAAAGCTTTTACTTTTTAAATTAAATAAATGAAGTCTATTCATATTACTTAAACAAGATAAACATTTAATGTCTGAGCTCTGTGAACAGTAATGTTGAGAAAATCTTTTTTTTTTTTTCATTCATTTTTTTGCGCAATAAATAAATAAATAAATAAATAAATAATTTTACCTCGGGTCAATAAACTTAAATTCAGGTTATTGTTTTATTTAAACTCTTCAAACTAATATTAGTTTAAATTATAAGTGTTGTTTTTAGAGTTTACTTTTAGCCGGTGTTGTGGAGTTAAATAATTAGTTTAAGAGAAAACAAGTTTAAAAGTTACCTTCATAATATTGATAAACGTTATCATCATCTTACTCTGACGATGTTTCCTCTTAACAAACATTTGTAATGACGTCAGCATGAGCGTTAGCCCACGTGTTAGCATTAGCATAAAGACGCAGGTATTTCTATTTTGTGTCTTTTCACACAAACTGGACTTTTAAAGACTCACTGAGTATCTAGACTTCATGTTTCCTTCCCCGGCTCCTTCTTCTTCCAACATGCTGCCACGCGGTCCGCACCGCTTACCTGCTCGAGACAATGATATACACACCTGAGAACACCGCAACACACCTGGGCGTGATTACCGGAAGCTTCAACCGGAAGTGACGCAGAACGTTTCTATCGAAGAAATTAAAAAGTTATAAATAAGAGGACACATAAACAAGACTAAGTCAAAAATCAAATGTTTTATTAATAAAAAATATTTATTAATGTAATTTACTTTTTTTTATGTTATTTTTTTTAACTCTTGGTAACCTAGCAACAAGAGAAAGTCAAACTCGTCACCATGGTAACATTAACCGCCCGACTAACTGCGTTCGTTAGCAGGACGACAGCTGACGTCACCATGTAACTATAAACACATTTTTATTTTTTATTTTTTTATTTACTTTTACCTGTTGTTTAGTTTTATTTACTTGTTAGCTGTTGTTTAGTTTTATTTACTTGTTAGCTGTTGTTTAGTTTTATTTACTTGTTAGCTGTTGTTTAGTTTTATTTACTTGTTGGCTGTTGTTTAGTTTTATTTACTTGTTGGCTGTTGTTTAGTTTTATTTACTTGTTGGCTGTTGTTTAGTTTTATTTACTTGTTATCTGTTGTTTAGTTTTATTTACTTGTTAGCTGTTGTTTAGTTTTATTTACTTGTTGGCTGTTGTTTAGTTTTATTTACTTGTCATCTGTTGTTTAGTTTTATTTACTTGTTGGCTGTTGTTTAGTTTTATTTACTCGTTAGCTGTTGTTTAGTTTTATTTACTCGTTAGCTGTTGTTTAGTTTTATTTACTTGTTATCTGTTGTTTAGTTTTATTTACTTGTTGGCTGTTGTTTAGTTTTATTTACTTGTTAGCTGTTGTTTAGTTTTATTTACTTGTTAGCTGTTGTTTAGTTTTATTTACTTGTTAGCTGTTGTTTAGTTTTATTTACTTGTTATCTGTTGTTTAGTTTTATTTACTTGTTATCTGTTGTTTTGTATCTTTTCTGTGCAGTTTATAGATTTAGTTTAAAGCTGTATTGTCTGTTTTCTTTGATTTGTGTACTATAATGTACTTTTAAAACGACTTACTAACCTAAAGTCGTCCTTTGTTGCCACCATGACATCAGATTTGATTTATTATATATACATATGGTCAATCATATATTAGGATAATGTGGTTCAAAGTTAAATATGGATCATCAGTGACGTCACTAGAGACACTGTTCACATGATTTTCTTCTGTCACTCCTTATTCAATCTGGTGAATAAATCAAAAGAGCACGTGTATCAGGTGGTGCACAGGTCTGGTCTCATCTATCTGTAGAGAGAGAGAGAGAATGTTACAAATGTTTGATTTGAAATAAAAACTGCTTTTTTAAATTTGTTGAAGCTGTTTCAACGACTGTGTGACACTCAGAATACTCCAGGTGCAGTACAGTCCAGGTGCAGATAGACGACAGGAAGCAAACATCAACAGGAAACAGGGGAGGTGATTGGTCAGCCGAATCAGCTCCCTGGTGACTTCTGATTGGTGGAGTAACTATAGACATACCTTCATAGAATAATTATGTTAATTAAAATTAAAAAGAACTTTATTCATTTATCCCCGGGGGACAATCCAAAGACACGTGGAGTACAGGTTCACTCAAAATATCAAAATACATAAATAAATACAATAAGATTAGACTAAAGATATGACAGTGATGGGACAAATAAAAATTAAAAAATAAGATTCACAAATGTATCACAAATCTTTATCGTTTTGTATATATGTAATAGAAATCCACAAATATATAAACTGTTCAGTCTGCATTTACAAACTCATTTGTGAACCTCATTGTGTTTGTGGTTAGATTCAGCAGGGAAATGTCTGTAGTATTATTTATTATTATTTATTTATTATTTATTGTTTTGGCACCAAATCTACAAGATCAAGTTTCAGGAATAAAGATCACTGTTTAAACTCTTTCACAGTTGTGATGATTCATGAAATCTTTTTCTCGGGGGTCGCTGAGCGGGATGTTTTTAAAGAAGAGTTGAGGTGAACACCTTCAGAGGTTCAAACGGTAAAAACTTTTGTTTACAGTTCTGAAATCTTCCTGAGATACAATCTGGACATAAACACTTTCCTTTAAACTAGAGTAGACACTTAAATCACACAAAGCTTTTCTTTATTTCTCATTTACATACGATGATTATTTCAAGTTCCTGGACTTTGATTGATATGAAATTCTTTTTAAAGAAATCTTCGCTCTCAGAGTTTTGTTTCCAAAGTCAGAAACAAGAACACAGTCCGACTGTCGGTCCGCTAAAGTCTCTATTAAACACGTTGAGTTCAGGTTTTCATGGGCGGTTCTAGGCAGGGGCCAACAGGGGCCAGTGAGTTTGGTCCCCCCCTGTGGCCACCCCTCCAAAAGGAAGAACCCCCCGAGTACTCAACAACTGGACTCACAATCTAGTATTAAATTCTGTTACTGAAACAAATATCATGGTATTTAATGATGTGCGCTATTATTTGGCATAATATATTTTTTAAAGCGATCATCTTTGTCTAATTTGGTTTAATGTTCCCCTCTGACAAAACAACTGGCCCCAGTTTGGCCCCCTCAGTGAAAGTGGTCTAGAACCGCCACTGCAGGTTTTGGCACAGCTTCTCTGGTGAGGGATCAGACGAGTCCCCCCGTCACACCCTGAAGCCCCGAACGAGCCGCCGTCTGTCACTCGGTCAGTCTGATGACGCTCGTAAAAAAAAAAAAGTTCAGACTTCAGTGTCAGACGGCCGTCTCCTGGTCCTCCCTCTGGATCATCTGGTAGTGCTGTCGGTTCTCCAGATACGCCGCCAGCTCGGCGTCCTGAGACTTCTCGGCTCGGTTTTTCGGAGTGTCGCCCTGAAGGCAAAGATTGGAGCTGTTATCTCCAAAAGATGCCACAAATTCAATCCTCCTTCAAATGTCCACTTAGACTCAGGAAGCTTTAATAATAATAATAATAATAATAATAATAATAAATTAGATTGATATAGTATTTATAAAGATTTAAATGAGCTGTAATGTTGTTCTTGTTTTAATGGATGTCAGAAGTTTTACAGTCCGGTACCTGAATCATCTAAAATTAAAACTGACTAAACCGTTTCTAGTTCTTCATCTTAAATAAACTCCTAGCGCTCTAAAAAAATGTATCAAAGCCGACATACTAACCTAAATTCATTAATCGTCCAAACAACGACGACACATTGTTATTCAATAAAAATATTTAATTAGACAGCCAGTACAACTTTGATGTTGTTAGCTTTTATAGTTACTACTAGCTTTGCTCCCACCATCACATAAGATTATGATATGAACATATGGTCAATCATATATTAGGATAATATGTTTCAAAGTTAAATATGGAGCATCAGTGACGTCACTAGAGACACTGTTTACATGATATGTGAACACCAAGAAAGAAACTATCTGTCTGCCTCTCCTCTCTCTGTATCTAGGTCATTGCTGAGTCCAGCCAATGAGGCTCCAAACCTCCATGGAAATGTGAACAAAATGAGAGAAGATGCCTGTTTGAGGCGAACACACACAGACACAGATATCCATTTTAAAGCCCGCAGGTTAGCGTCTGAACTGTACCTGTAGGTCTGTCTTCATGAGCGAGGCTCCTGCTTCAACCAGATAATGACAGATAGTTCTTTGACACAGGGACGCAGCTCGGTGAAGGACCGTCTCCCCCCTGGTCAACGAGAGAGAGAGAGAGAGAGAGAGAGAGAGAGAGAGAGAGAGAGAGAGAGAGAGAGAGAGAAAGAGAGAGAGACAGAGAGAGAGACAGAGAGAGAGAGAGAGCGCGTCAGATTACAGCATCTGACAACATCACCCGAGGAACAGACATCAACAGTGGCACATATATCATCACATACAGACTGAACAGAGATCACAGCAACAACATCAAAGCTGGAGATACAGGCACAGGACTGAAGTTTGAAAGTTTCACAACATTTTCTCAGCAACAGCATCATCATCTACACTCTGTTAACATTTAAATAAAGTGTTTAGCATTTTAAAAACCTCATGGTTTCAGTTCAATGTTCGATGTTTTCAAGCACAAATAGAATCTGTACTTACTGCAGTTTTTCTGTAACGTCCAGCAGATCACTTGGAGCTAAAAAGACATCAGACGAGACCGTTATGGGTGATTTTCTCCAGATCCACTTTTTAAGATTCTGGTTGAAATTGTCTTTTGGTCCTGACAATGCAAGCAATGAGCTGCATTGTCAGAGCGAACCAACCCTCTCTTAAACCTGCTTTTTGTAAAGTGTCTTGAGATAACATTTGTATTGAGTTGGCGCTCTACAAATAAAGATTGATTGAAACTACATGTTTTAAGCTTTACTGTTGAATAAGCAAGACTTATTGTTTTACAAGCCTGTCGTTGAAAGTTTCCCATGTTTCCCCTACACCAAACACGTGGAGGACTGTACACATACCGTTGTCGAGGATGTAGCGGACCATCTCTTTGCTTCCTGCACTGGCAGCGTGATGAAGTAAACTGCAGCCGGACGAGTCGAGTGAGGTGAGGTCGGCTCCCTTCAGGTGCAGCTCCTGCAGCTGATGATTCAATTCAACAGACACATGTGAGTATGTAGAAATGAGGTGCAAAGGTCTGCAGTGAGAGATGAAACTGTCACTCACCTTCTTTAAGTCTTTGTTCTTCACACACTCAACCAGCAGCTCTACACACACAGAGAGAGAGAGAATGTTAAAAATGTTTGATTTGTATTTTAAATTGGGGAATAAAAACTGCTTTTTAAATTTGTTCAAGCTGTTTCAATCGTCTTCTTGCCCCGGCATCTCATGACTCATTGTCGTATGTTGAAACTGATGTAAAAAGTATTTTGGCTGTGCTGTGTTCAGAAATATAAACATGTATTGCCACTGTTGTGTGTGTGTGTGTGGGGCTCTGACTCACTGGATTATTAAACTCTGCTAATCCAACATCACTCACCAAACAGACAAACATACGGCGTTAAGACCAACGAGTCGTTTTTTCTGTCGCACATTCATGAGATTTCACCAAAGTTACCACAGTACCCGTGTGACACTCATAATAAAGGATTAAAATCCCTCATTCAGGACGATACAGCTGCAGACGACAGATACTGAAGCGATCATGCAACCTGTTGATAAATCCAGAGCTACAGATTCACGGAGGTAAATACTGCTGATATAAGAAGACCGACGAGTTCAGAGAAAATGTTTCAGAATAAAAGAAACAAACCTACATGGACAGACAGATTCAAACAAATGCTTTGATTACGTCTGGCTGCGTTGGGTGGATGTTTGTAGGAACTTTTTTCCATTTGAACTTTTGTGATCTGTTGGTAACAAATAACTTCACTTCATTCATAGTTTGATTTTTATCCCCCGGTTACGAACGCAACCTTCCCGGTGCCTCCTGCACACAAAGATATTTGTTGTCTTGGTCTTGACTCGGTCTCGGAGCACTCTGGTTAGTGTGGTCTCAGAGTTCAGACTTCTGCAGACAGGGAGGAGGTTCACTTGGTCTTGTTGCCATGACACTTTAACTTAAGGACTGTTAGTGTTTGTGTCTCTTATCATCATCACCATGGTAGTTTTGTTTTAAATGTATGTATTTCTGTCTTTGTGCTGATGTGTGTTGACCTCTGTTGCAAACCAAATTGCCCTCAGGGACGATAACAGTCCTCCAATCCAATTACATGGATTTTGCGTGTATGTGATTTCTTAAACGGCACAGGCAACAAAGGCATCGTCGTGATGAGGAACGCGGTCATCGACGCACAGCGTGGTCATGTCACAGGTTCACATGTTCATGTACAGGATGAATAAACGCTTCAATAACATATGAGATGAATGTTTATTAGGCTGACCTCAATACTCGCTCCACCTCACTATCTCTCTCCAACGTCCTAATCCAGTTATGTTCGGCTTAGTGTGCGTGTGCGAGTGTGTGTGTGTGTGTGTGTGAGTGTGTGTGTGTGTGTGTGTGTGAGAGAGAGGGGGGAGAGGGGGGTAGAAAGGGAGCAGACTTCAAAAAACCGAGCTAAGAGCTTTTGTGGCTTCAAGACAAATCAGAAACAACACACACTCTGAATGAAGGAATTAAAGAGAGGTGGAGGAAACAGTCCACAGACATGAGGGGGGAAGAGGAATCAAGGAGACAAGGAGAGGAAACAAGGACTTGGAATAGATAAGAGAGGACACAAACAAGGGGGGAGGAGAGGAAGAAAGGATTTGAGAGGAAAGGAGTCAAAGAGGTAAGAGCAGAAAGGAAGGAAGCAGGGAGAAAGGAAGAGAAGGACAGAATGCAATGAAATAGAGAATAGGAAGGATGGAGAGAAAGGGAATAAGAGAGGAGAGTAAGGAGCTATGGAGAGGAGAGAGGAGACAAGAGGGGAGGTGAGAAATGAAGAGGGAAGACAAACAAAGGTGAGAAGGAAATGAAGTACAGAGAGGTAATAAGAAGGAAGGACGGAAGGAAGGACAGGAGCAAAGGAAAGCAACGGAAGGAAGGAAGGAGTAAAGAAAATCAGAAACGGAAAGGAAATAAAGGATGGAAAATAAATATTAGTGAGGACACAAGAGGAGATGAGAGGAAGCAAGGAGAGGAGACGAGATGAGAGGAACGATTTGAAAGAAGGAAACAAAGTAGGAAAGAAGAAAAACACACAGACACGTCGCTTGCTCCAATGAACTCCTCGGTTTGATGCAGTCAACCTGTCTGACCCTTATGGGAGCTGTGTGTGTGTGTGTGTGTGTGTGTGTGTGTGTGTGTGTATTTGAAACCGTCGCTGCGTGTTCCTGATGTTTGACGGACAGAACGACTCGGACTGAATTTAAATGTTTGCTTCACTAAATCTGAACGTAATCGTGCAAATCAAAGCAAACGT